CTCAGTGGTAGAGCACTTGTAGCCAAGTCCCTGGCTTTAATCTGCATTACAACAAAAGGCCAGCTGCCGGATTTCCATTTCCAGATTTAGGGGGGTTTTTTGGTACCAGGGATCGAACTAAGGTCCTTGCGGTTGCGCAGCAGGCGGAGAAACCACTGAGCTAAATCCCAGGCCCTCCAGATTTAGGTTTGAGGGCTCCCTTCTCTGGCCTCTAGCTTTCAGAGAGATATACTCAGCACATAGTACCCCAAAGTACTTAGCACATAGTATCCCAAAGGACACAATTAGAACTAGGGCTGGGTTTCCCAAGGGAATGACTGGGAAGCAGCCTCATAAGCATATTAGAGTGTTCCAACAGAGCAGCTCTTGCCTGCACATTACAGTCAACCTCCAGGACGGGTCTGAGACCACAAAGTAGAGTTTGAGAGGAAAAAATAACTGGAGGTACTGAATACTTGCTTATTCACGCAACCATTTGTTTGTAAAAAAACATTTTGAGGGGGTACTGGATATTGAATTTTGCTTCCTACATGCCAAGCAAACACTCTCCTACTGAGTTACACTCTCAGTGGTTCTTAAAATTTTGAGATAAGGTCCTACCAAGTTGTCTGGGCTGGTCTTGAACTTGCAATCCTTCTGCCTCAACCTCTCAGAGTGCTGGGATTACACGTGTGTGCCACCACACCAGGCCGTATCTGCTTTATTCATTATTGTAAATGGAGTCTAGCCGAGTGCTGGCATCAAATACACACTCAAAACTAGGCTAAATGAATGAATGTGGATGGCTGGATGCTCACACCCCAGCTAGCTCTAAGTATTGTGTGGATGGGGAAACTGAGTCTCACAGGTGACTTATCCAAAGTCACATAACTAGTAGCTGAAATCCAGACCTGGATGGTTCCAGTACTTGCTCACTGAACTACCTAACTAGCTATACTGACATCATTCCCTCCTCAGAAACCCCCCTGCCCTGAAAGGAGAGGTGAGGCATAGCAGAAACCCCAAAAAGGCTGAGTCTGGACTGTGACAGGTGCCTCTCTGGGATTTTAGGGTTTTGGCAGCTTGTGGAAGATGCCAGAGCTGATTGCTTCAGGGCCTGGCCATGCTTGGAAGAGACCATGTAACAGACACCAGATGAGGGTTTTGAAAGAAAAGCTCACCCAATAAAAAGCCCGGAGAGCAGGCAGGGATTTCCACAGCCACCTAGCGGCTGAAGGGGTGGGGCCTTCCCTAAATGGCCTGGCTGGGCTGGGACTTCAACTCCTGCTCCTCTGGAGACACAAGGCAAGGGCAGGAGGGCCACTAGTCTCCTTTCCCAGTAAGCTGTGCCTCAGTCCTAGTCACAGATCTGAGTAACTAGGGAAGTGACATTCAGGAGTTGGAGGGGAGGAGTGTCTGATGATGTAAACTGATCCCCAACAGGTTTCCATGTTTGCTTTGTTAAAGTCCAGTTTAATTAAGGGGCCTGTACACTGTTTGCACCAGCTTTCAGCACCTCCTTTAGAAAGGAAGGGAAATGGGTGTATTTAATCTACAAAGGTGGGTGCCTGTGAACTAACTAGGTCAATCCATCAAGCTGCCGAAGCTTAAACTTTAAATATGGGCCCTGTCTGTGCAAGTGTTGATGATACAGAAAGCAAAGGAAGGAAGCCATCAGTTCACAACCTGCCTGTTAGCTTCCCCACCCCCCTCCATCCCACATCAATTTAAAGCTGTGTGCTCTAGGATAATACCACTGAGATCCCTAAAACTATAACAGCCTGGGTCTCTCAAACCAGTCTGTGCCAAGGAAAGGAAATCATCGGCAGTTTTATTTGAATTGCTTATTTACTTTTTAATAGTCTCCATTCTAGAAACGAGAAACCAAAGGAATAAACACAAGGCTGAATTGTTGGGTCAATTTCATGGTGCATGGAACTGATCCCAGCAAACCATACCCAAGTCCCCTCAGTTCATTCAAAACCCTATTTTGAATACTTCAGTCATCTGTAATAGGTTCCTTTTTGGGGGGTGCACTGGGAGTTGAACACAGGGGTGCTCTACCACTAAGCTACAACCTCAGCCCTTTTCATTTTTTATTTTGAGACAAGGTCCAGCTTAGTTGCCCAGATGGGCTTTGTGATCCTCCTGCCTCGGCCTCCTAAGTAGCTGGGATTACAGGCATGCAACAAATACGTCCATATCTAAACCTGGTGCTAATTATTACATCCTTCCACTTCCCCAGACTGTATCTAAAAAGAGTCCACCACCTTCCTAGATCTTGTCCACCTTATAAAATCACAAGGCTGGTTCCTGAGGTCAAATGTGTGATTTTACCAGAAGGTCACTCTGCCCCGTGGTGACCCCACATTCAACTCCTGCATGGAGACCCCACAGAAAAGAAAGGCCCAAAAATTAAGTGGCAGGAAATCTGGTGAGTGGGGATGGGGTCTACGCAGATAGGGGGAATAGGAACCGGCCACATGAACTCTAGAATGCTTCCTCCACTGACCCCACCAGCCACAGGGGCCCCTCCATCCCCACCTCTGCTCCCGCTCCGGCTCCCTCAGTCATCACCGGTCGCTCTCAGGGGTCCCTCCATCAACACTGCTGTCCTGGGTCTACTTCAAAATGCACACTAATTCCCCAAGCACCTCCTTTCTTTCCTTTTCCTTTTTTTTTTCTTTTTAAATGTTTTATCATCATTATCATTAGTATTTATTATTACTATTGAGAAAAAAAAGAAAGAAAAAGACCAAATGTGCACATTAAGGCCATAGTCTTAAGTGAAATAAGTAGGACGCACATGTGTAAACACCGAATAATTTCTCTGGTGTGAAAAACTAAAAGTGTAAATAAGGATCAAAATGTATAATGGATAATTGAAATAAGAAAGGGTCTAAAGGAGTAGGGGAAGTGGGAGGGGCAGGGAAAAGGAAAGGGGAGAAAGAAAAAAATATGAGAAAAGGAAAAAATGGAAACAAAGTCTTTGTAAATAGGGAAGGGTGGAGGGGCTGAAGGGAGGACAGAGGAATGGGGAAAAAATAAGAACCAAGATCCCAGTGATGAATGTAACTGTATTGTACACCTAAAATGTACCAATAAACTTAATGAAAAATAAAAAAGACCAAACGTGGACCCTTCGGCAGATTAAATAGTAATTGTTTTATGCCTTGGTTTCTGAAAATCCAAGTAGACCCTTAGGGGCTAAATGAAACCCTTACTTGTGGTAGAGCAACTGCTTAGCATACAGGAGACCCTGGGTTTAATGTCTACTACTGTAAAATAACAAAAAGAAGCAGACTACTCCACCTTGGGTGCTAGCAAATATCCTGGTGCAATAAACAAAGTGGCTGGTGCTTGTGTTTGGACGCCTCACATCCATGCTCTCGCACATTCCCATTTCTTTATTTATATTTTTTATTTTTTTGGAGACAGGGTCTCACTGTGTAGTCTAGGTTGCTCTTGAACTCATTATGTAGCCCAGGCTGGCCTCAAACTTGAGGCAATCCTCCTACCTCAGCCTCCCAAGTGCTGGGATCACAGGCGTGCGCCACTATGCCCAGCACACATTCCCATTTCTAACCTCTGCTCTACTCTTCAAGTTTGCTTTTCAGAAGCCAGGCCTCGCTGCCCACTGACCCCTTTTAAAACATTCCACCCTTTCACACCTCACTGCCTTTGTCCCACAGTGCCTTGGAGGAGGTCCTGGGACACTGCAACCTGCTAGAACTTGCCATTCTGGGGGGGAAGGCTGGAATGTCCTTATCTGTCCCTACATCTCACTTTACTCCTGGGACAGCCAAGGCGGGACACCAAGTAGAGCCTGGGTGAGTAATCACTCCAACATCAGGTGGTTAACATTGATCACATAGAGTGCTCCACAGAACACAGCTGGGTATCAGAAAAGCAAACACAGTTAATCATCAGACTGCAGTTTCTCTATAAAACACACTGCCCACTGTTGGCACAACTTCCCAAATTCAAAACAAAATGTAAGACAACAGCTCAATTGCTGCATTTTTCACGCTGTCAAAGACTAGAAGAATAGGCACAGTGGAAGTATTCCCTCAGGGGAATCGTGGGTGATTTATCTTTTAAAAAAGTATTTCTTTGGCCAAGGATTTAGCTCAGTGGTTCCACCGCCTGTCTCACAAGTGCAAGGTCCCAAGCTCGATCCCCGATACCCCAAAAAAGTATTTTTTATTGTTAATGATACTTGCCCAATAAACTAAAATCATGAGGGAGGGGAAGGTGGTTTGATACAAAGTAATCACCTGGGAATTAGTGAAATCAGAAAGGAAACCAGCCCCTTCCCTTGCTCCCAGCCAATACTGAATACTGAAGTTGAACAAAGCAAACTAGATTATCACACTGATAAAGCCTGAAATCCATCAGGTGTGTGTATTTTCAACCCCTGAGTCAGAGTTTCTGTGCTTTAAAAAAAAAAAAAAAAAAAAATCATTATTCACTAAGGAAATAGTACCTGTACCAAAATGTTTTCACCTCTATGGACAAAAGCCACAGCCCTGATAACCAAGAGCTGCTCCCCAGTTATCCTCCCAGAAGGTGCACAATGAGCCTGGGAGTCAGATTCCCTGGGAATCAGACTCCTGCTCTGCTGACCCTGGGCAGCAGTCACCCCTCTGGGCCTCAGTTTCCTCATCTGTAAAAAGGGAGAGCTCCAGTTCCAGTCTTGCCCAGCAGGTTTTTGCAGTCTGAATTGATATTGTCTCCAGCAATCAAGATGGTGAGAAATACAGTACAGATGGCCTCTACGCAACCCGCCCCTGCGCACACCCGCCAGCCGTCCCCCACCTTCTCCCCTTTATAACAGCCAGCACTAGCTGGCTCGACCACCATGCAGTTTAATCCCTTGCCTTAAACACGAGTAAATCACAAGGGGGGTAGTTCGACCAAGCTGAGGGGATGTGGGTGCTCATTCCGACCCAGGGGTGCCGGAGCGCAATTTCTGGGCCCCTTCCCTACCCTACCCGGCGACACCAGCGGCGACCCCTCACCTCTGCCCAGGGCGCGGCCTCTCTCTAGGTGCCAGGGGACGGTAAACGTGTAGCTCTCTGCGCCAAAGCCGGGCTGGCAGGGCTCCTCCACCTCCTGGCAGAGCCAGGACGAAACCTGGGGTGGGGGAAAGGTACGGTACAGGGGTGACTTGGGGGGTTTCCTCCAACCCACACCGAAACCTGCAGCGCCGCCGCTCCTTCGCTCGGGGCGTCGGGATGGGGGGAGAATTCCTACCCCGGGCGGCAGCGACGTTATCGTCTCCCTCCCCGAAACCTGCCTCCAATCTCCCCACGGCCCCCAGGACAGGGGCTGCTGGCCCACCTTTTCTTCCTTTCTCATTTTATTGGAGATTGGATTCTTATTGGAGACTTCTTCCTCTGACACCACTTTCCCACCTTTCTGGACCGGAACGTTAGATCCTATTTCCTCTGATCCCCTCCACCCCTTGCTTACCCCAGAGCGTTCTCACTCCTACTTAACACCCTTTCTTTACCCAGTAGGTGACTTTATTTCTATACCCGCGCTCCTATGCTTACCCCTGGGATCGTCCCCACTACTCTTGGCTCGATCTCTACTTGCGCCCAAGCCCTCACAGCGGCAAACACAGAGCTCCCGAGCCCGCAGCAAGGCCCCCCGGGGCCCCGCGCTTCCCATGCTACTCGCGCCTCCGCGCAGTCCAGAGCGCCGCGCACTTTTCAGGGCGTTCTGGCTCCTGGGACCCCAACTTTCTTGAAAGAAGAGCAGGGACAGCAGGAGAGAGGAAGGGGCGCGGGACCAGGGCGCGGATCGTGGGGCCTGCAGGGAGCCCCCCAAATCGAGGCACCCCACATACCTGCAGCAGTAGCAGGAGCGCGGAGAGGCTGCGGCACGAGGGGCCCATGGCGCGCCGGGCGGGGGCCGATCCAAGGCGGGGGCCGGGCGCGTTCGGACTGGACTGGGCCGAATTGGGGCCGACTTCCGTGAACTCACAGGTGCTCTGGGGCTCCCCAAGCCACTGAGCTACTTAGCATAGCAGCAGCCAGGTGAGCCTCGAAAGCACCGCCCCCGACGTCGCTGATTGGCTGAAGACGCACCTGCCAGCCGCAGCCAATGAGAGACGGCGCACGGCCCTTAGCTTCCTTCGTGGGCCAAGAGCTGACCTACCGCCCACCCATAGCTCCGCCCCCTGCCCTCGCGCCCGACCCCGGGACCCACAGGTCTGTAATAGGTAGAGGAAGAGGACCATACGGACCTGCAAGATTCCTGTGCTACTAAGTTCGAATCCTAGCCCCGCCGGTGGACCACTGAGATCTGAGGTCAGAAAGGACTTTATCTAGTCTTTCTCTCTCCCCTTTCCTTCTCCCTCCCTCTCCTCTCTCTCCCTCCCTTTCTCTGTTGTTGTGAGGCGCCCATATAATTGATAAGAGCAATATTTCTTGAGACATAAAAGCTCTGTATTAATGTTAGGGGCAGTAACAGTAAGGGCAGGTGTGGGGCGTTGAAGGTTACTATGCCAGGCTCTATGCCAAGCATTTGACATTGACCATCTCCTCTAATCTCATCTCAAAACAACACAAGAGCTGTGTTACTGTCCCACTGGATAAGAAGTTGAGAAGCAGCAGAAAGTGATGCAGCACTGGAACCCACCTCTTTCTGATGCCAAGGCCCTTTCTCTAACTCCCAGTTTCACTTTGGGTGGCTCCTGACTCTCCCAACTGGAGCTTCGGATTTTTTTTGTTATTCCAGTACTGGGAATTGGGAATTGAACCCTGAGCTTCCCACATGGTACCCAAATACTCTACCCCCGAGCTGCATCCCCAGCACCTCTGAGCTACATCCCCCACACTTTAATTCAACCTTTTTATTTTATTTTATTTTATTTTTTGCCACACCAGGAGTCAACCCCAGGACCTTGTGCATGGTAGGTGAGTGCTCTACTACTGAGCTACATACTGAACCCCTCAATCCATTTTTTGTTGTCCTGGAAAAGACCCTTTAGACCTGTTATTTGTAGGTAACACATTCAGTGTCACATAACAAGTCAATGTCAAAGCCCAGACAAGACTCCAAGATCACCTGATCCCTAGGTTGGGGCTCTTAATGCCAAAGCCACACCACAGCTTCCACTACCTTTTCTGGAGAATTCTGTGCCCGGTAAAATAATTTTAGAATCAAAAACAAAATAGACAGGCAGTTAGGTCAGATAGCTTCCCTGTCGGTGGCCAGCCACATCTTCGTGGTTTAGGTATGCTGACAAGGATGCCTCCTTTCCCTTTGTTGTCCAAGCATAGTCAGAACTACCAGGTTTTCATTTTTGTTTTTGAGACAGAGTCTCACTATGTAGTTCAGACTGGCCTTGAACTCACTATGTAGCCTAGGCTGGCCTCGAACTCATGGTGATCCTCCTGCCTTAGCCTCCCAAGTGCTGGGATTGATTACAGGCGTGTGCCACCACACCCAGCCAAAACAGTATTGTGTGTATGTGCCAGTCCCCAGCTGTGTGACCTTGGGGAAGTCAGTGTTGCTTATATAAGTGAGTTGATACTGGCTAATGCAAAAACAGACACTAAGCAGAGTACTGGGAATGCAGTGTCCACTGTACGTGTCAAAGCTGAAGGTTGTTCTTTTGAAAGATCCGCCCATGTCCCTCCCCTGTGGGGATTGGCACGTCTGGAGTATTTTGCCCAGAGCTAAAGGTGAATCTGAGCCACAGAGCGACTTTCTTATCTGCACTGTTTCTGGGCCGGCCCCTCCCCCCACGCTGACCCCTCGTTTTAATGGGTTTTCCAGCGCACACCCTGCCTTTGCCTTTTGGATTTCTGCTTGTTGGCTCCCTCTACCTCTTAGCCCACCAGGAGGCTCAGAGGGAAAAAGGCTTCGGTATTTCCTTTTCTACTGAGGCTCCTGCCGGACTGTGCATTTAAAAAGATAATGGAAATAGAGAAAGGCGTTTCCCCCATGGGGCGGCCTTGTCCGTTTATTTTTTTTCTCCCAGTTATGTAAAAAATACATATTTTATTCCACCAGTGGTCCCAGGGAGCCTCTGGGGCTTTGCTTTCTTCTACCCAGCAAGCCCTGGCCTTGGAACTCTGCAGCAACTCTTGCTGACTGTTCCATTACGCTCTGTTAATTCAATAAAAAGGATTTTAGAAAACAATTAGGGGCAGCAAGGACAGGTCAGGCCTGATGGCTCTTCAGACTTCTCGGCAAGTCATTCTCCAAGCTCCAGGGAGGGTCAGGAAGGGTTGTCCCCGCCCTGGGCTGGCTGTCAATGTTAAGGGAGAAGCACAAAGGGGCTCCCAGTGAAGCCAGGGCGCTGTGTTCCCTCTTCAGTCAGATGGGGATACCTCAGTGTAGGGACTGAATAAACTAGTCCTTAGCCTGTGACCTGGCTGGCACAGCATTCAGCTTCCCTCCCTGCCACTGTCTGCGTAGCCTAAGTCACTTCGACTTCCTCAGTTCCATTTCCTCATCCATAAAATGGAGGTGTTGAAATTGGACTTGGTGACCCTCTCCTATAATCCCAGCACTCAGGGAGGTTGGGGCCCAGCCTGGACAATTTAGTGATTTAGCCAGACCCTGTCTGACTCAAATAAAAAGTGCTGGGGACATAGCTCAGTATCTCAGTTCAAAGGCCCAGGGTTCAGTCCCTAGTACTAAAAAAAGAAAAAGGAAATGTTAGCCTCTAATCCAGCATTTGGGAGCCTGAGGCAGGGAGATCAGGCGTTCAGAACCAGCCTGAACTACTTAGAGCCTATTTCAAAAACAAAAAAAGAAATGTTGATAGCACTGAATTCACAAGGTTCTTTTTTTTTTTTTTTTTGGTACCAGGGATTGAACTCGGGTCCTTGAGCTTGTGCAGCAGGCAGTGAAACCACTGAGCTAAATCCCCAGCCTTCACAAGGTTCTTGTAAGTCTCCTACAACAGTCAGCTATGAGCACTCTTTGCCCAATAGATTCCCTTCCCACTTCTAGGAAAAATCCTAAATTACAACCAACTCCTGACTCTCCTGTCCCCTACTCCCTCCGGAAAAGCCTCCTAGGCTATCTCTCGAGTGGCTAGTCAGTTTGACTCTCTGATTTTTGCTTCTTTCAAAGGAAGGAAAACCTTGGAACTAGTAAACTCTATCTAGGGATGGAGTCTTATCCTGAGTCCAAGGGTATGCGCTTCTAGGTGGCCCATGAATGCCCTAGAGGTTGTATGCAACCCTGTCAATGAAAGTGCTAAGGTCCATTGCTTTCCTTAGTCTCTCTCTCTCTCTTTTTTTTGAGATAGGGTCTCACCATGCAGATCAGGCTGGCCTTGAACTCCAAATGATCCTCCTGCCTCAGCCTCCTGAGTGCTGAGTGCTGGGATAACAGGTGTGCACCACCACATCTGGCTGTAGTTTCTCAGATGGGGAAAGGTAAAGTACAAATCCAAGAGTTGAGATAATAGGAATTTTAAACATCAACAGGGAAAAGAAATATAGGCCAGAGACCCTGGAACTGCCCTGGAGGTTACTCCAGAAAGATAACAGACCCTCCTACTTTCTGCCCACTGGCATTCTTCTCTCAGTGGACCACAGGCTCCAGGTTTCCTTATTGAGACTTTCCTGGGTCTCCTGGTGGCCCGAGGCTAATGATTACTCTCCCAGGTGGCCTGTTCCTTTCATCTCCTGGCAAAGAGGCGGTAATAATGCTACTTAGACTGCGAGGGGTGTCCCTGCCTTGCCCTCTGCTGAGAGGAGCCACCCCCAGCCACTGGAGAGGAAACCCTGGGAAAACTGGAATTGTGGGGTTGCTGTCCAATCAGCCTCCCGGCTGTCTCAGAGAGGAGGCTCCATTCCTGATGCCCAAACCGAGGGGCTCCTGACACCTCTCGGGGGCCACCTGCTAGCACGCAGGGTGAGAACTGGATACACTGCTCCTGCCTCCTGTGAAAGAGGTGGTATTGGATAGGGACACCATCGTTTGCCGCTCAGCCACTCCCATCTGCAGTTTCATTTCAAATGCAAAGTAAACAATTCTGTGTGCAGTCCTCCCTTGGCATTGGTGGGATTGGCTCCAGGACCCCCCATGGATACCAAAACATCGGCAGGGCATGCTGGAACCCCTTGAAGTGGTTACAGTATTTGCATATAAGTTACGGACACAGGCCAGGTATGTTGATACACACCTGTCATCCCAAGATGACAGGAGCATCACCATGAGTTTGAGGCCAGCTTGGACTACGTAGTGAGTTCAAGATCAGCCTGACCTATCAAGACCCTGTCTCAAAAAACTAAAAAAAAAGAAAAAAGTGGGGCCAGGGATTTAGCTCAGTGGTTCCACCACCTGCCTCAAAAGCTCAAGGTCCTGAGTTTAATCCCTGGCACCAAACAACAACAACAACAAAAACCCAAAGAGTAGGCATATCCACCCTTGTTCGCCACCTTAGGGGGAAAGCATTGTATCTTTAGGGCTAGGGATTTAGCTCAGTGGTTCTGCCACCTGCCTTGAAAGTGGAAGGACCCGAGTTCAATCCTCGGTACCAAAAAAAAAGAAAAAAAAACCTTATGCAATCCTGTATTCTTGTTTACTTATTTAGATCATCTCGAGATGGCTTATTATACTCTTTTTAAAAAATAACAGTGTAGGCCAGGGATTTAGCTCAGTGGTTCTGCCGCCTGCCTTGCAACCACAAGGACCTGAGTTCGATCCCTGGTACCAAAAAAAATAAAAATAAAAATAACAGTATAGCTATTTACACATAGCATTCACATTCTAATACCAAGGAAAAAGATGCAAGGGCTCTTTTGTTTTAAACATGGCCCCAGGCCCCAAACTCCTGGACAGTTCTCTGGCTCAAACCACAGTGCCCATGCAGATGTGTTTTGTTTTGTTGTATAGTGCTGGGGATTGAATCCAGGACCTTGTACAGGCTAGGCAAGTGCTCTATCATTGAGCAACACCTTCAGCCCTAGATGCAATTAAAAAAATTGTTTTTCAATCCACGATTGGTTGAATCTTCACATGTTGGCCGACTGTATAGTGAAACCTCATGTATAGGACACCCAACTCCAAAAGTTGTTTTCTGTAATTTATAATTTGTACCAAATCTTGTTTAATCTTCTGATATTTTTATTTTTGATTTTTCAGAATAGTTTAAAGCAAATTCCAGACAGCATGTCATTTCCTGTGTAAAGATTGTAGTCTGCATCTGTGGTAAAGACGTTTTTTAAACATCACCTTTGTGATATTACTAATGCCGAATAAAATTAATAATAATTCCTCAATATCATCAAATGGGTATGCTATGAGGCTTTTTTGTTTTTGTTTTGTTTTGAGACAGGATCTTCTTACTATGTAGTTCAGGCTGGCTGGAACTCACTATGAAGCTCTAGGTGGCCTTGAACTTGAAGAAATTGTTTTGCCTCAGCCTCCTAAGTGCTAGATAACAGGTGAGTCCTGCCACGCCCAGCCTATGTCTTATTTATCCCCCCACCCCAGCCCCTATCAGGGATCGAACTCAGGACCTTGCACTTGTCAGGCAGGCTTGGCGCCACTGAGCTAAATTATGCCTAATTTTTTTTTTTGGTACCGGGGATCGAACTCGGGTCCTTAGCTTGCAAGGCAGGTGGTGGAACCACTGAGCTAAATCCCCAGCACTCTATGCCTTATTTTTTTTAAAACATCTTTTTCCAATTAGTATGTATGAATCCGAATAAGCAAGAGCCTCACTTTACTCATCTGTTAGATCCCTTAAGTGTCTTCATATCTGTGTTTTTCTTTATCCTTTTTTGTTGTTTTTTTTAGTTGTATTTGACTACATATACTTAAAATATACAATTTGATGGATCTTTGCATTTTCATATACTGCAAAACCACTGGAACAATCAAGATAATGCATGTATCCATTTTTGATTGTTTGTATTTTAACATAATTCTGAATTTACAGACTTTTTTTTTGGTACGGGGGATTGAACTCAGGACCTTGTGCTTTCAAAGCAGGGGGTGGAAACACTGAGCTAAATCCTCACCCTAGACTTTTTTTTTTTTTAAAGCAATGGGTCATCCAGGTTTCAGGTAGCCTGCCTGAAGTCCCAGCTATTTGTAGCTGAGGCAGGAACTTGAGCCTAGTAGTTTTGGGCCAGGCTGGACAGCACAGCACAATTCGACCTCAAAAAACAAAAAGTCCAGGTGTAGTGGTGCACATCTATAATCCCAGCACTCTGGGAGGCTGAAGCAGGAGGATCACAAGAGCTGAGCCTGGGCAATTTATCGACTTAGGGCCCTATCTCAAAAAAGAAAAAGGGAAGGGCCAGGGATTTAGCTCAGTGGCACCGAGCTTGCCTAGAAAGCACAAGGTCCTGAGTTCATCCCTGGTACTAAAAAAAGAATAAAAAGAGGTGGGGATATAGCTCAGTGCAAAGGCCTTAGGCTCAATCCCTAGTAATGGGGGAAAATACTGTATGATGTGATCTTTTGACCCAGAAACAGTAGAAATGAGACTGGACCCAAATGTTTTAAGTACACATAGTCCTGCAGAGGCAAAGCTGTACTGGGGGGAGAGGAGAACTGTGGCTTTGGCTGAAAGGAGCAAGCATTTGGTTGAGAGAACAATCTGCTGCTCACAGAACAAAGAGAACAGAAGATTTTTATTAATTTGTTGGGGTGGCCAAAGCTTGGTCTTTTGCAATGGCCAGGAGCATGGTCTCAAAAGATGTTTCTCCTTGTCACAGGCTTGGATCCGCAGGTGGCCACGGTGAACTCATCCTGGAAGCTGTTGAACAAAACATTCCAGCCTTGTACTTGGTGGCTGTATGAGTTGACTTCTCCTTGTTGGACAAAATATCTGACACCCACAACTTAAGAGAAGTTTGTTTGGCTCCCTGTTTCAAAGGGTTTCAGTCTGTGATTGGCTGGTCCAAGGCAGAAATGGCAAGGCGGAAGGACCCGAGGAAGCTCAAGCCATAGAAACCAGGAAGCAGAAAGAAAGCAAGAGAACCAGAGGAAGAGAAAGACCTAGGGGATAAGAATGCATCCTCCAGGTCACATTCCCAGTGACCCACCTTCTCCAACCAGGGCCACCTCCTCACCGCACATTCAGTCACACACTCATGAATGGATTTATTCATTGATGAGCATAGCACCCCCAGGACCCAATTACCTTCCCAAAACCCCACTTCTGAATATGTGGTACTTTTGGGGGACATTTTAAATCTAAACCATAACAGTGGGCTAACAGGAAGTCAACTTCACTCAGAAACTACTGAGTTATTCTCATGGCTGGCATCATCATTTTGTAATATTATTCAGTGCTGGACCTACTGAAGGAGCACGTACCAGCTCCAACTGGTGATAGGCTAAGCTAGCCCTGTATCATAGTCTTGGACAAAACATTCTTAACTGATAACTGGCTGTGCAGAGCTGAGCAGAATCTGACTGAAGGGTTAAGACTGCAAAGGGGACAGACACAATATGAAGACAGAGATGCCACAGCTTCTACCCCATTCTTGTCCCCCATCCGACATCCGTGGGCCCAAGTGAACAGTCAGTGTACTCAGCAAAAGTGGCCTTCAGACTCCTGGGAAGTAACCCAGGGAACCATTATCATAAGGCACACGTCAAAGCGTTATCTGCAGCAAAGCTTGTAATTGCCAGCTGTGTGACCTCCAGAATTAGTGGTTTTAAGTTGACCGAGAGCAAGTGAAGCTAGAGGGATTGTTTAGGTTTTCTACTTGGTAACAATTTCTCATTTCATCTGCACCTGTGGTTTTAGCAGAGTCTCATGACTGCCCTGTTGAAATATCCCATGTTAGGGGCCGGGGATTTAGCTCGGTGGTTCTACCACCTGCCACAAAAGCGCAAGGTCCCGAGTTCGATCCCCAGTAAAAAAAAAAAAAGTTAAGAAGCTAAGATTCAGTTGATGTCAGCTGATTACTCCATTATCAAGTTCCCTATCACCTTGTGGTTTGTAGCCCTGGGGAGGATGGCTCTTCAGATCCATTATCTCATCAGGCCAAACAGCAAGCATTTACTAAGCACTCACATGTGCCAGGCATTCTGGTCGATACAGGGGACACAGAAATAAACAAAATTTGGTCTCTGTCCTTAAGAATCTTATAAGGTAGGAGGTGCTGATGAGTAAACATTCATCCATTTAGTTATTTAATGCCAGGTATGTATCAAGTATTGTGCTAGATGCTAGTAATTGCATTATAGTAGGTGACAAAAGTGATATCTACCATTTATTGAAGCTCCCCATACTCCATATGCATTATAGCACCAGCCCCATATAGCCCTTTGCTACCATGCATCCCTCTGACAGCTTCAGAAGCAGAGGCTCACAGAGAGGTAGAGATCTGATGAAGGTCAGGGTTCTTCGCAGAACAGAGCCAGTAGGATACACAGTATATATGGAGAACATGCCACCAACCAGCTAGAGAACCCAGGAGGTCAGTAGCATGGCTCAGTTCAAGTCCAAAGGCCTGAGAAATTGGGATGTCACTGGTACAAGTCCCCGAGTCCAAAAGTAGAACCAAGAGTTCTGACGTTTCGGTCAGAAGAGCCTCCTGGCTCCTGAAGAGAAAGAGCAAATTTGCCTTTCCTCTGCCCTTTTGTTCTACAATCTGCGTTTGTCTGTTATGTTGGAAGTTTTGTTTTTTGTTTTTAAGTTTTTCCATCTTTTTTCCTTTCAGTACTGGGGATTGAATCCATGCCCTTTGCATTGAGCTACACCCCCAGGTCTTAAAAAAATTTTTTTTAAGGCCAGGGATTTAGCTCAGTGGTGCCGACTCTTGCCTTGAAAGCGCAAAGTCCCGAGTTCAATCCCCGATACCCCCCAAAAAAATTTTTCTTTTTTTAAATTTTGACAGCATCTCATTAAGTTGCCCACATAGTACTCAAAGTTGAGATCTTCCTGCCTCCGCCTCCCTCAGTGCTAGAATTACAGGCATATGCCACCATGCCTGATTTCCAAAGCATCTTAAATCCATGCAATACTCTTAAGATCAGGGTAGATTTGATTAGGTGCCATTTGAACTGAGTGGCAAACATTGTTCAATTTAGCAAGATATGGTCTGAGGCATTGGTCAGAAACTCCAGGCCCCAGGACAGCTAAGAGAAGCCCAGCAAGAATAAGGCCTAGAGGGCTGGGGATTTAGCTCAGTGGTTCCGCTGCCTGTCTCATAAGCACGAGGTCCTGAGTTTGATCCCCGGTACCAAAAGAAAATAATAAGGCCTAGGTGCTGCTTGTCCAGCCAGAGTGGATGGGACCACTGGGGTTCACGCCAGTCAGTGCCAGTTTATCTACAGAACAAAAGGTTTGTCCTCGTTTTCCAGAGAAGGGGGCCGAGCCGTGGAGAGATGGGCAGAGGCCACTTGACACTGGCACTCTGGCTCCAAGACAAGTTTGGTTCCCTGGCAGACTTGGTCCCTGACTGCCTGAGTCCAAATTCCACTCTTCCACCTGCTAGTTACAGGCCTTTGACCCAATCACTTCAACTCTTTTTGGACTCCTGATTTCCTCATCTTCCTCATGAGAATAGTCACAGTACCTCCCTTGTTGAGTGGCTTCAAGAATTTGGGGAGATAACCTAAGTAAACATGACACATGGGAAGTGCTTAATAAACATTAACTTATTATTTCCATAGTCCACATTTCTCAGGGGCCAGAGTTTCCTGGAGCCGAGTCTGTGGCCAGCAGGCCCCTACTGTCCCTACACTTAGTGAGGTCCCCTGCAAAGAGCTGCTGCCATGAGCCTTCGTCCACACTGGATGTCTCAGGAATGACAGATAAGCACTGTGGAAAAACTGTCGGGACCCAGAGACCTTTGGCTTCCTGTCCCCCACTTCCAAGCAAAGAAGGCCCCACTGCTCTTCTGGAGCCAGAGGCATCTGGCCAAGGATTCTCTACTGGGATGGAGAGACAAAGCCCTTCCCAAACACCAAGCCTCTCCAGGCTCAGCCAGCAATGAAATCATGCCTTGCAAAGATACCCAGAGGTATCTGAACCACACTGAGGGTGTAGTTCAGTGGTAGAGCACATGCTTACTGTGTGTATCAAGCCCAATGATAAGTCTGGCCTCTGTCTGCCCCCTCTCCAGCCATCTGAGTTACCAGAATGGCTGGTTCCAAGCCCAGGAACACTGCACGCTCAGCTAGGGCAGGGCACATCTGCCCCACCTGCTAGGTTATGTAAGACCGAGGGCCTTACCAAACGCTCCGAGGAGCTGAGTGCAGCGACGAACACCCGGGAAGGGACACACCGGACAAGTTGGAAAATAAAACAGACCTTTATTAGTCTGGCCAGACGGCACTCCCAAAGTAAAGTAGCTAAGAGAGGCAACTGGCTCAGAGTCCGAGGCTGTTTTATAGGGGGTTGAGGGGGAGGTTAACATGTAGATTTACGAAAAAAGGAGCAAAGGTTAGTGGTCGACTGTCACGTACTGATGGTCAGCAGACACCTTGATGGATTGTTCTACAGGTAGTGGGCCCGGGAACATTCGTTCTCCGGACAAACAAGGGGTTGAGCAATTTTACTTAGGAACTCTGTTTCGTTACAGATTCTATTATCCCAGAACTAACAAGCACATTTTAACCATTAATTTACAAGTACAATAGAGGCTAGGGGAGTAATTGATTTTGGAATCATGCAGTCCCACAGTTGCAGCCCACCCACCTACAACAGAACATTTGCCTCAGCTATGGGCGGCTGGGCGTCCCCTCAGCCATGCTCGCTCTCCCAATCTCACGCCCCACTTAGCCTCAGCCCATGGAAGCCTGGCCCACTAACCCCCCAACCCTATCCATAAAAGACATAGCTCAATAAACTTGACTGGAACTCTCCTTCACAGTTACTCCAGGAGGTCCCACCCAGAACCCCAAATTCAGGCTGGCTGTGCTCTTTTACTGGGGTTGTCACCATTAACCTAACACCCAGCACCAAAAAAGAAGGAAAGAAAAAACTCAGTTTCACCTTTTGTAATTAAACTATATTTTCTAAGTATGGTATATGCCTTTGAACCATGGATGTGAACCTCACATAGTTTTTCCTTAAAAAAAGAAAATTCATGGCTCGCTATGTAGTCTATGCTAGCCTTAACTCATTATGTAGCCCAGGCTGGCCTTGAACTCACAGCAATCCTCCTGACTCAGCCTCCCAAATGCTGGGATTACAGGTGTGTTCCACCCCACCCACCCTCAGCTCCTCTCACCTCACAGTTTATTTATCGAATCACAGGAGGTGGCCAGAAAATCTCTGAAGGAATTGATCTTGTGACCTTGAAGCAAAATTTCTGAGCTTCCCTAAGACTTGGTTTAGCATCTGTAAAATGATTCAGTTGGCCTAGAAGGAACCTCCAGTTCTCTTCTGACCACAAGGACTGTGACTCTGAGCTCCCTGAGATTGAAAGTTGTGTCACTGTAGGGCCAGGGATTTAGCTCAGTGGTTTCACTGCCTGCTGGCTGTGCAAGTGCAAGGACCTGACCTGAGTTCAATCCCCGGTACCAAAATAAAAAGAAAAAAAGAAAGTTATGTCACGGTAAATTGCATCGCCATTTCCTTCTGGGGGGACTATGGAGCTAGTTCTCAACTCAGTGGTACTAGCAGGCACAGTGGTGAGGTGTGAGGTCTCAGGTTTGATCCCCAGTACCACACACTCACAAGGCTGGGCATAGTGTTACACATCTATAATCCCATAATCCCAGCACGCTGGGAGGCTGAGGCAGGAAGATCACAGGTTTGAGCACAGCCTGGACAACTTAGTTACTTGGCAAGATCCTGTCACAAAATAAGAACTAAAAATAGTCTGGGTACCTACCATAGCTCAGTGGAGAGGCCATGGGTTCAATCTCCAGTACCACCAGAAC